CTGCCTACCACCCTTTGGGATGCTGCTGTCATCCTGACAACGGTGAACGAACATGCCTCACAGACGCTGGTTTGATTGTTCCTGATACAGACACTGGTCAAGCCACGTTTCAGCATCACAAAAAGGTGCCAGAAGGGCAGGAGGACCACTGGGCTCTGGAGACCCGGCTCCTGTCTTCGTTCTCCCCGCTATAGGGGCTAGGTATGGCTGGGCTGGGAGCATCTAACTGCTCTGGTCTCAGTGTCTTCACCACAAGAACTTATATTAGAAAATCTTAAAGTGAGCTTTCTATACTAAGAAAATTTGCCTTCTGGGTTCTATCCTGTCAGAAAAATATAAAATTTGAATTTAGAATGTTCTAGAATGAATTTTCCCTATTTAAATGGAGAGCCATAAGTGTAATAGGCAAGTCATGTTCTTTCTTCTGGGATTTTGCTAACATAATTCACCAACTGGTTTAGAAGGTCCAGTAACCACAAACTGAGGCTACTTCCGGGGTCCTTAGGACAAGCTACGGCAAGGACTAGCTGCTTCAAAGACTATACTCAGAGATGAGCCAAAACCAATTGTCTACAGGCACCTGGGGATAAGGAAGAAAAAAGAATTCTATTTGGAGAAGGTCTCCACATAGTGGAGGTGTTGGGGGAATCTGATTTTAGGCATGATCTTTAATCTATAAACACGCATGTACATGCGCTATTCGGTAATTATATAATGGGGATCCGATCCTCATTGAAATTTGGCAGGAGATGTGGTCTCTGAGTACACAATACAAAATCTAATTGGAAAGAGAGGGTGTACAGACAGAATTAACCGACGATTATTCTAAAACACAAATGAGAAAGCACATTATATTATGGCAAAGAGTATAACTAAGTGCCAAGAGAATCAAGTAAGAGAAAGATAACCGTGGATGGAGCTGAGCGGGTCTTCCAGGATGCAGAGGTTTAGGGGTGGCAGAGTGAAAGATGAGGGGGGTAACATAAGAGAAAGTGTGGGGGCAGGAAGGGCTGGGTGTATCGGGCCAGTGGGTAAACCAGCTTGGCCACAATTAAATAAATGGGCTATAATGGGGGAATTATGGGAAACGAAGTTTACTGTGTAAAGAGCATCAGTTAATAGGGGAGCTTAGGATATCCTCACCCAGGTGGAGGAACAGGCTCTGTTCCCCTGGGGGACAGAAAAAGAACTCAGGATGATTGAAGGCCTACTCTGACCGAGGCACAGCATTGACCAGACACTTATGCAACTACAACCTCCTGGGAGACAGGCATTGGCCCTCCATTCCACCCTTATAGATGAGGGAGACTCAGGCTTGGAGAGGTTAGGTGATGTGCCCAAGGTCACAGTCAGTAGGAAGTAAAACCAGACGACAAAACCATGCTCCTTTTCTCAACAAACACTACACTGCTTTTCCAAGTGCTGCCGGGATTAATTGGTCAGGGGCTGATGGAATGAAAGCACAAGTTGGGGAACATTTCTCTGCCAGTGACGTTTAGATGGGTAAGTGGTAGAAGCTATGAAGGCACTGTAACCCCTTGCTTGCAGTGGGTTCATGGACCGGCAGCACTGACGTCACCTGGGAGCTTGTTAGAAACGCAGATTCTCAGGCCCCACCCTGGACCTACTGAATCAAATCTGCACTGGGACGAGATTCCCAGGCGATTTGTATGCATATTACAGTGCGGGGAGAACTGCCGTGGTAATGCAGGTGTGGCTTGATGAGATCCTGCAGCATGATAACAGGAAGGGAAAACTGACTCAGAGAAGGGTCCTGGCGGATGACTTAGCAAATCCTGGGTGCTGTAAGGACATGGGGAGGTGAAGGACACGGTGCAGCAGAAAAGCCTTGGAGATCTCAAACCCGGGGGTGTGAGGAAATGCCAGTGCTACTGAAAGAATTGGAGAGGTTGGGGCGGGCTTCTGGATTGAAAAGGAAGATGCGAACTCGATCGTCTAACGTGCTGAGTTTCAGGAGTTGGTGAGAAAAGCAAGATAAGGTATCTGGCAAACAGCTGGCAGAAGAGGACGGTCAGGGTTAGGGAGGCAGATTAGGGATCCAGGACAGGGGTGATGGTGAGACTGTGATGATTGGGGACACAGGAGAGATTCATTTAAGATATTTAAGTCAAAACCAGGTTTGCGATACCTGTGATCCATAGTTAATATCCTTGGTGTCAAAGAAATAGTTGATCAGGGATGCCTCTCCCTTTAGTATTATTTCATAGGTGGGCCCTTCTTCCACTTCGCAGAGAGCTTTAGCCTGGGCAATGATGTTACTGTGCCCATAGAAGGTGAACGACATCTGCTGGCTGCTGTGTGGCTGCAACATTCCATAGAGGGGCAAGATATCGAATACCTGCAGAGCAAGTCATTCTGTATGAGAGCAGCTATCAGGACGAAGGGCCTGCAAAGGGTAAGTTAAAGTTATGCAATTCACAGATTAATTCCTGACTTTGTTTAACTCCATAGGAGGTGACTAGCCCGGCACCCAAAACACGTGATGGTCATGGCGGTAACAGTGCTCTGGCGACAGTTATGTCTCTGACTTGGGGCAAGTGCCCAGTTAGAAAAGTTTGTATCAGATGACATCAGGACCCATGGTGTGTTACTTACTTCTTCTATCCCAATGGAAAGCATATCATCCTGCTCAAAGATCCACAGGGATTCCTGAAACTCCACTTGGCTGTGGCTTGAGTGTATTCTTTCTGTTTCAGCAGAGTTAATTTTTAATCCCTAGAAATTAAAGACGTGAGGAAAAGCTAGCAAGCGTTCGTACTGGATCATCAGTGTGCTTCTCCTCACCCCAAATGAAGCGTGTTGTATATGGTTATAAAATAGTACCTTTCTCCTTAGGCAGATAACTGGGCAAGTGACCAAAATCTATGTATAAGGATGTTTACTGCAGCGCTATTTATAATAGCACAATTTTGGGAGCAAACTAAGTGCCCATCGATGGGGGGAATGTGTGTGGGGGAATTCTATCCATGGAGGATGATGCAATCTGTATTTATGGACTTGGAATGACGTGCAAACGTATTATTGAGTGAAAAAGCAGTCATTCATGTAAAATCACATATACCTCATGTGTCTGAAGGCGTGAGTATGTATACATTCATTCAGAGATTTGCATATGCAAGCAGAGATACCTGGGAGGTTGTTTGTTAAAAATTTCAGTAGCATTTTTCTGTGGTGGGATTGTGAGGATATTTGCTTTAATTTTTCTGTATTCTTGAGTTTACTATGACAAACATATTTGAAAACAGAAAAAAGAATTAACATACTAACGTTTAAGAGACAAGTGTTTAATATACTCACACATACTCATTCTAAGAAAATTGAAAAATATGGAAAACTCAGAAGAAAGAATAAAAATAAATCATTAGGTTATGCCATAGATAAAATGTATCTATATATATATGTGTGCGTGTGTTTATATACTGATATATTTGTATTCTGATTTTCCAGTTGACATTATGAGTGCTGTCTGCCCATGTGACTGAATATTCTTCACAAGCATCATTTTAAATATTTTCTAAAAATAGATGATCATACATGATACAAATTTAAAATATTCAAAAGGGTATATGGTAAAAAAAAATATATATTTCCTCCCCTATTCCCCAGTCCTCCAGGTCCCCCTCCCGTCCATTTAGTCATTCTCTTTATTCCACTAATATTTACTGAGGACTTACTATGAACCAGTTCTAGGTCCTGGGGATATAATGGTGAACAAAACAGAAGAAAGCCCTGCCCTCATGAAGCTGATATTCCAGAGACATTCCATGTATGAGCAAATATATTAATATCTACTTAACCACTGAGAGATAATATAGTGGTTAGGAGCAGGACAGACTGCCCAGTCTTCCAGCTCCACTGCCTGACGGACATGTCCCCTCACTGGTAAATGGGGAAAGATAATAATACTCACTTCACAGGGTTGTGGGGAGAAGAAAACAAGTTAATGTGAAAAAAAAAATGCTCAGAACAGTGCAAAGCACATAGTAAGTGCTCAATAAGTGTTAGTTTTTGCTTTTATGTACTTTTTTCTTTACACAAATGGTACCACACTATGCTATCTATTTTGCACTTAGTATTTTTTACTTACTATATCAGAGATTGTGCCAAATCAACATAGAAACTTTCTCATTGTTTAAAAAGGATTTCATAGTATTGCCTTGTACAGATGTAATTTAGTTTATTCAACCAGTCTCCTACTGGTGGAATTGAGTTGTTTCCAATTTTTCTTACTTTTACAAACAAAGCTGCAGTGTACAAGGATAGTCACATGTCTTCATGTAAATGCCGAGGGGTATCTGGAGAATAATTTTCTAGAAGGGGAACTATGTATTTTAAATTGTGATACACTTGCCAAGTTGTATGTCGTAGAGGTTACGCCAGTTCATGTTCCTACCTATCCTTGCCCACTCTTTGCTACAACCGACACAAACACTATTCTAAAAGATTGTATATCTCATGGACATACAGCAATGTAGCTTTCATTATTTTTTCAATTTTTTTTTATCCCTAAAGTGTGGTAACAAACATCTTTGCATGCAAATCTTTGTATCTCCAATGGTTTCCTTAGGCCTTCATTCTAGAAGAAGAATTTAAGGGTATTAGTTTTTAAACTCTCTTGGTCTTCCCTGTGTTTCAGCTACGGAGTTATTATGGAAAATATTTCTCCTTTAGTAGCCTCTATTTAGGGAGTGGGAAGAACACAAGATTAGCAACGCTTAGAGATAATTAGCTTTTCTGTTGTAGAGAAGACCTGTGTACTGAGGTGTCCCGGACTCTCACTGAGGTGTTGGCGCTGGGGGTATTTGGTTGGGAAGCCACGTGGATAAAGTTACGTGGCCTCATCCCAGCGCTGTGCCTGCCACTCTGCCTTTGTTTTACAGGGAGGATCCTCGACTTGCCAACCCTCCCCAAGGCAAGGAAACCGTACATCTGAGATCACGGTGGATGCTTTGTCTTTTCTGAGTTCTCTGTCTTCAGGCCTGGCATCTGCGTTCAGGAGGATGGTCCTGGGAGTTTAATGAAACAGAGAGAATCACTCACTGGGCAGCCATAGCCACACAGTCTCAGCTGCATAACAGCCCTGTCTCCCTCTTTCTCTTCTACCACACCCCAAAGAGTAAGAGGAAGTTCTCACTCCGGGGACACCTTCCTGAAGAGGTCAGCTGCTCTGTCGCTCTCTGTCCCCAAATTGCAGTGTAGGCTGGCCACTGACCTGGTTGATTTTCCATAGGCCTGACCTTTCTTTCCCAGCCCATTGAGCCCACGTCGGACTTACAAAAAGTCCTAGGACTCTCTAGCAATCCTTCAGACAATGTGGATGTGTCCTAAGTGCTCAGCGGTAGGTTTCATCCTTTACTGTGAGGCTATAATGTTTGGTGAAGTGTCATGTCCTTTCCTGCTTGCTGCTCTGGACCTAAGCCAGGCTGCAGACTTTGGACACATGGAGAGGACCGATAGGAAGGGCTCTGTCCCCCAGGGCTTGGGATGCTGCGCCCCCCTGAGAGCAGAGACGACTTCCAGCTCCCTATCCCATGTTACCTACTCCAGGGCCCACACATATAAGATATTCACTCGACTGTTAACCGGTGAGTGGTTGAATGAACAAATGAGGGATGAGAACTGAGAATGTAAGTCAGTGTAAAGAAAAGAACACTGTTAAAAAACATCCATGCTGACTTTGCATTTGCACTTACTTAACAAAACTTAAATCCGTCTCGCGGGACTCTTTTGTAGCTGGGACTGCTGGGGAGCTGGCAGTCGCTGGGGTTGCTGGGATGGACTCCATCTGGGCCTGGGGGGCGCTGTAGGGCTTCTTAGGCAATGTCACAAACCTACAAAGGCATGAGAAGTGGGGGTACAGGAGATACCAGCTTTTGCAAATCAGTGCCCAGTGGGCTCTCAGTTTCTAAGGCTCAGCTCCAAATTCTAGACCAGGCAGGTCTAGAAGGGACCTCCCTACAGCCTCCCTTGGACTTGCCTTCTTCAGATCTTAGCTAAGGTTTCATTGAAAAAAATTTTCTGATCACCCCCTTCTGGTCTGGGGCCCGTATCTCTGAGTAGCTGCAGCCCCCTGGGCTCCCCTCTCACACGTACTTTTTCCATCCCTGCCAGATCGTGAACTCGCCAAGGACTTGTACCTAATATGGTGTCTGAGACAGTGTCTGGCCCAGTGTAAGCAGTCAGACATGGTCATGAATGAATGAGTTACCAGGGACCCTGCTCCCAGCTAACCAGAACGCAGGGCCAGGGCTAGCGTGAGGCGTGTGAGGCACTCCCTGGCAGGGTCCTGGAAGTGCAGGCTCAGCCTTTCTGTGTGACCTTGCCTCCCTATAGCGTGTGACCTTGGTGCCTTTCTTGTCACATCCTAGTTCTGGTCCCACCGGTGAGCTTTGCTACCACTTAAGTTCTCTCAGTAGAGGACCCCAGGGGAAAACGGCGCTGCACCTGCTGGTGCTGAAGCCCGTATGTCCGGGCTTCACTGATTAGAAAGGACTTTGGGCGTCACAAAGGCCAAGGTGGTGGGGTCGCCTCCATTCTTCCTGTTCCCCTCATGGTACGTAGCTTCTTCTGGACTCCTTCCCAACCCTCCCCTACCCATCTCACGCCCTTGGATATTAATTTCAGCCCATCTCACGTACACATTCATTCTGGCCCCATGTGCACTCAGAGGCTCAGCAGAAATTTCATCTATTAGATAAAGCGCCCACCATTGTCCCATCTTCCCGCTGGAAGAAATTCTGCCCCCCTTGGAAATTTCACAGCATTTCATCTGCACTTCTTTTAGGACATAGTCCACTCTCTACCGTATGCTGGAGTACCATTCCCTAAACTTCAGGCGTCTCATTACCACCTTGGTGATTTCTACCATCTTCTCTATCACCTAATAAAGCCACTTTATTGGGGAACAATTTCCATACAAAATGCACATAGTTGTAAGCATATAATCTGATGAGTTTTACCTGTGTAAAGTTTCATACCTGTGTAAGTACCACCACATTAACATAATGTTTCCATCATCCTAACAAGTTCCCTTGTGCACACACTCATCTGCTTTCTGTCACTAGAGATTGGATTTGCTTACGTTTCATAGAAATGGAATCAGAAATACATATTCTTTTGTGTGTGATTTATTTTGTTCAGCGTGTTTCTGAGATCCATCCATGTTGTTGCGAGGAGCGGCAGTCCATTCTATTTTTTATTGAGTAGTATTCCACGGTATGGGTGTTTGTCTATCTTCCTGTTGATGGACACCTAGACTGTTTCCAGCATTTGGATACTATGAATAGAGTTGCTCTGAACATTTGTGTACAAGTCTGTGTGGACATTTATTTTCATTCCTCTTGGGTAAGTCCCTAGGAAGGGAATTGTGGGGTTGTGTGGTGTATGTATGTTTAGCATTATAGGAAACTGCTGAACAGTTTTCCTAAGTGGTTGTACCATTTTACACTACCACCCACACTGTATGAGGGTTCTGGTTGGTCCACATTCTCATCTACACTTGGTATTCAGTCTTTAATTTTAGCCATTCAAATGAGGATATAGTAATATCACATTGTAGTGTTTATTAATAGGCTTATTATTATTTTTTCATTATTATTTTTTTATTGAGACAGGGTCTCACTCTGTTGCCTAGGCTGGAGTGCAGTGGCATCATCACAACTCACAGCAACCTCAAACTCCTGAGCTCAAGCAATCTTCCTGCCTTGGCCACCCAAGTAGCTGGGACTACAGGCATATGCTATCACACCTGGATAATTTTTCTAATAGGCTTATTTTAAAGGAAAATTTCATAATCATTACTATAAATGAAAACCTGTATTACCTATCATCTTTAGAAAATTCAACACAATGGAAAAAAATCAATGTTGTTATTTTCTTGCCTGGTGAAGGCTCTGAGCTGGGCTCTGCTTGCTCTTTTTAAGAAGGAAGATCCATTCAGTTTCTCCATGGGCAACCACCGGGCTAGCACCATCTGTGGCTGGGCTTATTACTGTGAGCTCTTGGAGGGTGGGATCGAGGGTGTTCCCTCTTTACAGCCCCCAGAGCTCAGGGTCTTCTATGTGGAGCATGAGCTCAACAGGTGTTTGACTAAATGAATGGATGGATGAATGGATAGATGGGTAGATGGCTGAATGAGAACAAACAGCATGGAGGGTAATTTGACTATTCTGTATACCCGCCTCAACTGGAATGAAGAGTGGGAGTGGGAAGGCATGGAGAAGCCACAAAGTGTGGAAAAGCTCTTTTCATCATCTTTCATGAGCTTCCATTTGGCTTGTTCCAGACCAGTGTCCCTAGTTGACTTTACCCTGGGCAGAAACTATGCCATTCCAGGCAGGGCACACATGTTGGGCTGGGTGCTGAAAAATCTCCTGGAAGCTCGTTAAAATAAAGATTCCTGAACCTCATCCTTGGGTACACTCTGATTCAGCAGGTCTCAGGTAACACCTGGGAGTTAGATTTTTAACAGTCTTCCCAGGTGGTTCTAATGGACAGCGAGATTTAGGAGCCACCGTGGGCAGGAATGGCAACATGACACTAACATTGGAGCTGATAATTAATATGGGGTTATTGCTGTGGCCTCCCCAGCTAGAGACAGTGAAAATCAGCACAGGACAATGCTGAACACTTATTAAATCACCCCAGGTGAGCGGAGATGCCCACGGAGACTTTGCCGGATTGCTGCCCCACGTAATAGCATTCTGCCATCCACATTTGCACCCCTCTGGGATGTTGTGCTGAATTAAGAAAACGTATACGAGAATATCTGTAAAGGAAAAACACAAAGCTGAAGAGGGTCCGAATAGCTGAGGAAAAACAACACCTCAGTTGACAATGTTACCTGGACAACTGGGAATGAGAGATCTCTTTGGAAACAAACTGAGGAGAGGGCAGATGGCGCCCTCGCTGCTAACAGCCTGAGCCTCAGGAGACAGTGAAACCTTTACCATAATGAAGGCTTTCGGTTATCATTAAAATTGGAAAACCTGCTTCAAAAAAAATTGAAATAGAATGTTGGTAGAGTTTTTTTGGATCAGATTTATTTTACCCTCAAGAACAGATGATTACTTTCCTGTTATGCTGACCCAAACAGGATTAGATTCAGTTATTTTTAAAAGAGAGTGTATAGCAAACAAGGAAAATCAATATTGCTCCAGTTCCAGAGCTACCAAATCAGAGTCACTGGAGGAGCCGGGGAAGAAACACCCTCTTAACTGTGACAGAGTCGTGTATGTGTCAGACACACACTGATCTGCGACACTGGCTTGGGCTCAGCCGTTTCTCTCTCCATGTTTTATTTTCAACTCTCGGGGAAGGAGCAACACAATCTTTGGTGCTGCGAGTTAAAAAACCCCATCCTACTTATTTCCTGTTCTCGCTTCACTGGAAGCAGTGCTGTGCCAAAATCAAACCCTAAGAACAAGTCTGTTTCAGTTAACATTCTGCACTGTGGTTCCCATGGGATTTGCGGATGGAATGGTGGCTGTTGAACCTCCACTGAAGTCTGTGCAGCCGAGGTCGTGGCGGGGAGAAAAGGTGGGAGGAGTGGGCACCCTTGCTGTAGACACACTGACATCTAATTTACTGATTCAGTAGATGTGGATTCTGGGAGAGTCCACCACAGAGGGTGAAAGCAGCCACTGGCTGGATAAAAAGGGCCTGCACCTGCTGGTTGATATTTTTTCAAATTGACTGCAGTGATGCTGTCGGTGCACTTTATTAGGACGATGCGCCCATCCCACAGGTGCCGTGAGTGTTGGCTGTACCTTCCTCTCTGGAGGATTGCCCGGACCGGATGGGAGCTGCCTGGGAGGTCATGCTCTCCCTCCCATTAGGGTGTGACCTGTAGGCAAAGGACTGATTGATGGAGGTGACGGTTATGAGAGCCCAGTCTCTTTGAGTGGGACAAACTGTGCCGCACTGTGCACTCTAGAGCTCCCCATGGCATCAGGCAAAGGTTGGAATTCTTCTGAAATCACCTCTTCCCCAGTTTGCTCCCTGCCCTATCTTGCTTCCCTTACTCTCTTACAGTTTCTCCTGAGGGCGCTCTCTCAATAAACCACCTCAAGAACCACCAGCTTAGGCTCTGCTTCTAGGGAACCTGCTATAGCATTGTGTGATTCCAGAGACGAGAAGCCCAATCCTTGCTTCCAGGTACTGAGGCCAGTGGGTCAGAGTCAGAGACACAGGGATGGGCACACTTCAGGGGAGAAGTGCTCCAGCAGGGGGACATACAGGATGCGTGGTGCTCGGAGAAAGGCCGCAGGGTCACGGGTCCTGGGTTTGAATTCTGGCTTCCCCACTCACGCGCTATGAGGCCTGGGTCCTGTGTTAGGGATAGAACCTCCCTCACCTGGCTGTGAGGCTCAGTTCACACACAGAACTCCACGGTGCCTGGATCGTAGCAAATGTCCAACGAACGTGGGCTGTTCTTGTGCTGGGGCGAGTGGGGAATTCAAATGAGGGAGAGACTAACTCTTCCTGGATGCGTGGGATGTGGTCTGGCTGCGTTTGGAAGAAAGAATGGGACTTTTCAGGTAAAGAGTGGAAAGGACGTGTGGGTGGAGGGACAAGTTTCTCTAAAGGAAAAAGGTTGGAGAGAACTTGGATTCTCCAGGGACAAGGGAGAGCTTGTTGTGGGAGCAGGGTGTGTGTGGGTGCCAAATGGAAGCAGATGATGATGATGACAACAATGACAGTAAAGAATACAGAAGCAATGAGGCAGGGGTCAGTGATGCCAGCACTGGGGTCAGGCATGACAGAGGGGGGACAGTGGCCATGATGACAGGGGAGGTGCCGCACTTCATTTTGATGGCTCTCATATGCCTCT